ATACCAGGAGGGTAAGGGGAAGGTAGGGGAGAAAGGGGAAACCGATCACAATGATCTATAACCCTCTCCCTGGGGGACAGACAACAGAAAAGTGGGTGGAGGGAGGTGTCAGACAGTGTAAGACATGAAAAAATAATAATAATTTATAAATTTTCAAGGGTTCATGAGGGAGGAAGGGTGAGGGAGGGAGTGGGGGAAATGAGCTGATATCAAGGGCTCAAGTAGAAAGAAAATGTTTTGAGATTGATGGTGGCAATAAATGCACAAATGTGCTTGACACAATGGACGTATGTATGGATTGTTGAAAGAGTTGTATGAGCCCCCAATAAAGTGATTTTTTTTTAAAAAGAAGGTCAGTTGCCCAAAGGTCTTCTAGGCAGTCCTGAAATTAGAGCTGGGTCTCCTGAATTCTAAGACAGGGCCCTTGTTTTTTATTTCCTTTATTATCCTTTCTGAAGGAACCCTGATCATGGGGTGGATTAAGTATTGGGCCGCAAATCACAAAGCAGGGGGTTCAAACACACAAGCTACTCCATAGAAAAAGATGAACTTTCCTGCTTCTGTAAAGATTTAGATTTGGGGGGACTCCCAGGAGCAGGTCTGTTCTGTCCTATAGGGTTGTCAGTATAAAGAATCCACTCAACAACAGTGAGTGGGTGGCTAAGTGAGTGAGTGACTGACTGACTGGGTAAATGAGTCACTGAGTGAGTGAATGACTGGGTGAATGAGTGAGTGAGTGACTGACTGAGTGAGTGACTGACTGAGTGAGTGAATGTGTTAGACAGGGTTCTCTAAAGAAATAAAACCAGATCGCTAATAATTTTATAAATATATATTTAGATAGATAGATATAACACAAGAAATAAACAGTTGTTAAATTATAAAGCAGTTATACAGATAGCTAGCTAGCTAGCTAGCTAGATAGCTAGCTAGATAGATAGATAAACACAAGAAATAAAGAATTAAATTATAAAGCAGTACAAATGGCTCTGTACAATTCAAATGTGTTAGAGAGTTGTGAGACACTGGCAGTGTCTTGAGGGCCGCCAGGCAGTCCTCTGTAGAGAGATTCAGATTCTCCGGGCACCGGCAGCCAACAGCAAGGCAGGTCACCAACAGTCAGTCAGGTCACCAACAGTCAATTCCCAGCTCAAGAGATGTAAATTCCAATTGTGTGGCGAAGCAAGTTTTAAAGGGATCTCAAATTACAGCGGCACAGTCCACAGGTTAGGTGTCCCACAGGTAGTGTAGCTTGCAAATTGAGGCACAGAACAAGCAAGGCAGCCGCACACTGGTCCGATGATCAAAGAGCGAGAGACGAGAAAGGCCAGGCTCCCAGAGCCACTCATTTCTCCGCCCTTCAATTAATCCCACATGTGTTTACCGGCCAGGCTGGCACAATAAACTAACTACCTCGGTGAATGATTGAGTGAGTGAGTGAGTGACTGACTGACTGACTGAGTAAATGAATGTCTGACTGAATGAGTGAATGACTGAGTGAGTGAGTGAGTGAGTGAGTGCTTATCTTCTTTAATCAAATCTTGACTTAAAGGCAGCATGGAACACCTGTGTAATTACAAAGTATGATGATAAAAAGAACAGATACAAGTCCTTGGCGCAACTAAAACATAACCAGCTCCTCACACGGTGCGGCCCCAGTTCCCCGGATCCTGGCACCAGCCTTATATTTGTGCTTCTCACTCCTGCCTTGAAAAAAAATAGTTGTAGTTCCAATGTATGTTTCCTTAAATATTATACTGCAGAGTTTTGCTCCTTTCTGAGCATTAGGAGTTCTTTGTACCGGATTAGTTAAATGGGCTTACCCTCTACAAAACAAAACAAAAAACATGATGACAATTCACTAAAAAATAGTGTTTCCGCCAGAACTCCACCTTTAATTTCTGGAAGAGAGAGAATCATGACACAAAACCTCTAATTTGAGCTGTAACTTAAAAGTAATCCTGGAATTAAACTGTTATTCAGGAAACTCACATATCCACCTTTGATTTTAAAAACTCATTCATTCTTTCGACAGTTCCTTTTGCCTTATTTTATGATTTTCCTCATAGGTCCAGGGACCTTTCTACATCCCCAGCCTCCTTTTCTTTTCTTTTCTTTTTTCCCGAGCCTCCTTTTCATTCATAATTCCCACACCTCATTATTTCAGTCCGAGAGAAAAGCCGCTCACTGGCCAGAACTCATCCAAAGTGCCCTCAGTCTTGCCCAGGATCCCGGAGGCCACAGGTTCTGAAGGTCAAAGGCATCGGGCGTGTAATCGCACAGGTTCTGTGATTTGACAGTGGGGACGATGATTTGAAAACAGGCCTATATTGGAAAGTGTAGGCTGGCGGTAGTCGAGTTACCATGTATGCTGAAGTAAAGGGGAGCTGTGAGCCCGAGAAAGACCACCTAACTAGACAGTCGGAGGAGGAGGTAGGCGAGTAGCATCCCTAATTCTCCCATGTATTTCAGAGCTGGAAACTACTTCTGGTGGATTCCTGTCGTGGGCCCCATGGTTGGCGCTGTCATCGGAGGACTCATCTACGTTCTTCTCATTGAACTTCATCACCCAGATGCTGCCGAGGCAGGCTTCAAGACAGAACCATTGGAGGACAAGCCGGAGAAACATGAACTCAGTGTTATACTGTAATGGCACGCTTACTGCTCGGTGTGAAACTGCCTGTGCTGGTGACCTCTTCAAGGAGGATGACACCAGGGGCCTGTGTGTTCAGAAGACTGGATGCAACCCTCCTTTTTATTCCTTCTCCCCTTCCTGCTAACTGCGGGGGACATCTGGTTGAAAAGACACCTGTGTGAAGGTTTCAGGTCACTAACCTCTTTCTACCAGGTGACCCCGGAATAGCGTTGATTGTCCACTGAAATAGACTGCTTAGGTGCCCCAGCCTTTCCCCTTGAATAGGCATTCTTAGTCTGGGTGAGCAACACGAGCTTGGAAGCTTGACCATGGATGTCAGTGGATGCACTGAGCTGCATGCCATGTAGGAAATAGTACCACCAAACCAAAGGCTTGTGTTCAGTCTCCACAGGGATTACACGTTGAGTGCCAACCAAGACGTAAATTGAAATGGAAAGACCAAATAGTGGCTTCAGTTCATATAGCTATGAATTCGGGAGCTGATGGGTTAACTCCCTAGTTATGTTGTACAACTCTGTTTATATCAAAACCAATATTCTCCAAACCTAGGAATGTAGGAAGCAATCACATGTAACGAGCAAACCAGGAGAAGGACGTTATAACACTCGGCAATCTCAGGAGACAAGATAAATTTGGGAAACCAAATAGAACTTTCTAAATGGACGCCATTTATCAGATTAATCTCTAGCTCTTCTGCATTTTAGAGGGCATGGACTAATTTCCTTCTCTTTAATATATAATACCCTGAAATATAATCATAACCTCAGCCGTGATAAATGTATCAAATATATTCTCCTAATTGCCCATTTGAGGACAGCCATTGTCAAGTTAAGGCAATGACTGCACGCATCCATTATTCTACACAGGCTCTAGAAGCAAAACCAGACACCTGCTGGGCTCACTGGATCCTCAAGCTGGAAGTCCCTGGAGAGATCATATCATCTTAACAGGCTTCTCAACTCACAAAGCACTTTCACCCATTTATATTATCTAATTTAATTCTCATGAGGACTTCCTTCCTGAGGCAAATACCATGCCGCCCCTTTTTCAAGTGAGGGAAGCACAGTGACTTGTCCAAGGTCACCTGGAAGGTTGAGCATTCGTTAGTGTCTCGCTTTCAGGAGCTAAGGATCTTTGTCAGCTGTTCTTGACAGGCTACGAGAGAATGGGAGTGCTGGAACATTGACACTTTCTAGACACCAGGCTCTAGGCACCTGAGTGGTGCAGTGCATTACACATTAGGCTACTAACCACAGGGTTCACAGTTTGAAACCACCTGCTGCTCCAAGAAGGAGGATGAGACTTTCTACCCCCTTTAAGTTCTACCCTGCCCCATGGGGTCCCTATGAGTTGGGGAGAACTCAATGGCAGCGAGTTTGAGGTGCATCCCATGCTTGGTAAAGTAGGACAAAGACCCTCAATGAGATGGATTGACACAGGGGTGGCAACAATGGGCTCAAGCTCAAGCAGTAGTTGTGAGGGTGGTGCAAGAGCAGCCAGTGTTTTGGTCTGTTGGACACAGGGTAATTAAGGTAATTATGAGTCAGAATTTACTCAGTGGCACATAACAATGACAGACATAATGCTCCCGGGTCCCCAAATATAAAGATCTCGATGCCATGGAGTCGAGGCAGACCCATTGGGACCCTATAGGACACAGTAATCTTGCCCCTGTGGATTGCCAAGACTGTAAATCTTTATGAGAGTAGAAAGCCCCATTTTGCTTCAGAGGAATGGCTGGTGGTTTTGAACTGCTGACCTTAAGATTAGCGGCCCAACTTGTAAACACCACACCACCAGGTCTCCTTAAAGGTCTTTATAGTATGGTTTTATTCCTGAAGTTACTAAATCAGTAACAAGAGGAAGAGATAGCAATTTGATCATAGTTTTATCTGTTGGGGAAAATGACCGGAAGTCCTCCCTTCCTAGGTGAGAGTAGTTAGTTTTGGTCCATCTTAACCTTTCTTCCTTGACAAACCCAAACATTCCAGCCAGAGAATTTCCTCTGGGGCAGGCTCTTCCCTACGAGGTCTCGAATTGCCCTTGTTTTGATCAAGAGAATGTCTGTGAGTTACAACTCTCAGAGCTTCAGCCGTGGGAAATTAGGGAGTGCACCTTAACCGACCTGCCAAGTAGCCTAGCATTCCTCAGGAGATCCAGTTCCCAGCTGCTTTGTGATAACAGAACAACAGAAAGCACATGTGAAATGCCTGCAGAAGGCCTGTGTTCTACAATCTGCAGACATGGGAAAAAATTTTTTCTGAAAATATTTTCTGGACATTTCCTTTTTGAAATAAAATGATTGCTTTTAAAAAAAAAAGTATTTATAAGTATGAATACTGCTACCTACACTTAGTTGCGGGGGTGTCTACCCTGTCTACAAATCTGAATGCCCAGAGGAGCTGTTAAGGTGTATGAATGCATAGTGGGCCCTTTGTAAACATCTCACGTAACTTTAAGAAAGTTATGAAAATTTAAGAAAATTCACTTGGTTGGTTCACTGGGGTTGACGGATCTTTTGAGAAGCCTATTGGGGGATGAGCAATAATTCCTAGTGGCGTTCTCAGGGTCAGAGCAGTGACCTTCACTGGGGGTGGTTCCTCCGTCCTCCAAGGGGACATGTGGCCATATCTAGAAACCGTTTAGATGGTCACAAGTAGGCGCTCAGGTGGTGCAACTGACCATTGGTGGGTAGATACTTCTAATCATTATCCATATGAAGGGCAGCCACCGACCGGCCTGGTCTGGCAATATCAATCGTGTGAGGGATGAGAGAGCCCGTATGTGAAGAAACGTGGGTGGAGAAGGAAGAGAAGATCTTAAACCCTACACCTCAGTCTAAGCTGTGCCCGGAAGTGAGAAGCCAAACAAACAGGGAACAACCCCTGTAGGTGGATTGCAGTTCTCAGATGAGGCAACCCAGTCTACAGGTGCTCCTTACACACCACGTGACGATTAATGAATGAGATTGTGAGCAGGAAATGCAGACTGATGAAATTGAATCCCAGGAAGATCCTTTTAAAAAAAGTCCTCTTGCTCCAGGGGCTCACACGTAAGCTCCTGTCTCTTTTCCACTCAACTTACAGGGATCTGCCTGTGTCAGGTCTCAGCCAGGGGAGTGCTTAAGGGGTGGATGTTTCTCTTTCTGCAGCTGAATAGCTGGAGTCAACTCACCTGTTTTTTAAATCCGAGACGATTTGAGAGTTACAGTGTTAAGGTCTCCCTCCTTCCCTTTCAGCAATTGAAAAACTTGGTAACAGCACCCATCGGAATGGCCACAAGGACATGTGTTAGGGTGCCCCCAATGACTGAAAATATCAGCGCATGTGAAAGGCATTTTTCTTAACAGTAACACCAGAGTCCACATCTGGTGGACTCTGTTTAATGCCATGTTTAAGACTCTGACCCTTAACACACACACACAGACACACAGTTGTCTTATTTTAAAGTGTGTCATTGCTCAAATATATTGTGGTAAAAAGACAATGAAACTTCCAGTTATAGAATGGTTTGTCCATTTTAATTATAATTAAACCAAGTTTCCAATAAAGTTGTAGGTGACATCCACAAGTAAATCAGAGTTTTGATGACTAAATAGAGTGGGGAGTTGAGGATTTTGCTTTGCTCAGGAGCCTCGTTTTGCTTACTCCCATCTTACCTATCCCAAGTGTAGCCCCTGAGCTGTCTCTGGGGAGAAATTGGAAGGGGAGGGGTGCTGAATCTTTAGGACAGAGGTTCACATGTTGAAAACCCTTGATAAAAGACCTGGGAGAAGTTGTTGATGAGTATTTGTATAAGCTTTATAGACAAAGCTTCCCAACAGTCATATTAGTTCAGCCTCAGGTGATTTTACAAAGTCTTCTCAACAAATAAATTAGATAAGTGAAACAGATTCGTTCAACCAACCAAGCATCATTAGCAGATGTTTCATATCCATTCTCCAGGAATATGTGGTCTCAGAGGTAACAAGTCTTCTACTACACATTATGTGGATAGAAGCAAGGTCAGGTTTGCTGTGTTGACTCTCTTACGTCTCAGTATAAACAATACACAACTAACTACATAGATGTATTAAACGCTAACACCTCTCTAACAGAGGAGCAAGAAATGGCATGGTCTGTATGTGAGACAGGCTGTCCGTGAATCAATGAGAGAGAAGAAAAAGCAAACTACCACTTCCTGCCTTCGCGTCGATGATGGCTCAGAACAATCCTCAGGACGGGGGGACTGCCCCTGTGGTTTTACGAGATTGTAACTCTTTATGGGAGTAGAAATCCCTGTCTTTCCCCCACAAAGTGACTGATGGCTTCAAACTGCTGACCTTGCACTTGGTAGCCCAATGTATAAGCACTACGCCACTAGAGCTCCTAACGAGAGCAAAGGGGGCCCCATATACACATGGAATGAATCCAAAAACCCAACACGATTGCTACCCATCACTTCTGACACACAGGTGATCCCATGTGCGTCAGAGAACTGTCCTCCATAGGAGTTTTAGTAGCTGACTTTTGGAAAAAGTCTTCCCAGGTGCCTCTGTGTGGACTCAAACTTCTGACCTTTGGGTTAGTAGTCAAGCGTGCTGACCAAGAACACATGACCCAGGGGCTCCAGAGCATCAGTCAATGAACCAAATTAGTCTAATCCATGGACCCTTTGGCCTTTGCACATTCCTTCGTTCACACAAATACATATAATAAAATTCAAAATTCACAATTATATTGTATGACTGCATTCGTATGAGAAAAGATACTGCTCAAACTGGATATTTTATACGATTTCAGCAGAAGTCCTAAGAGTATTGTGAAAACTGAGATGTGTGGCTGCTGGATCACCCAGCCTCACTGGATCACCCAGCCTCACCCTCCACCCTGCCCTCAACTTCGCAGCCATGGGATTCAGGGGCAGGGCTGAGGGCAGACTGACTCATGAGTGGGAATAGAGACCAGGGAAAGCCTTGGGTGTCCAGCAGGTTATGAGAACATTCTCAGAACTCAGCCCACAGCCATGGGAATTGTCCCTGGCTGGGCCTTCCTCCTCCTCCTCGTCCTGAAGCACCCATTAGATTCAACAGACAGTAAAGAGGCTTCCTGACCTTGGGAAGAGGCAGCAAGGTCCTGCAGCCTGCGCACCCTAAACTCCAGAGATGCTGTCATTTTGTTAAAATGTTGCGTGATGTTTCACAGTTTACGAAGCATGACTATTTCATCAGTATCTTGGAGACTCCCAAGATAGCCCAGCATCTTTAAACCCCCAGAGAAAAACAAAGACACCACAAACCCAAAGCTCAGAGGCAATGGGTAAATTACTCCAAGTTCCAGAGTGGAAAGTGACGGAGGTCTGAGGAGAATCACGGACTGTCTCAGTGTTCCCAAGGCTCAGTGGTTCCCCAGGGTGCGGGACTTCCGGTTCTCCCCGCATCTGCATCAAGGCCGGGCACCCACACCAGTGAGCCTCCTCCCAGCGGGATGCTCTCCCTTTGGCTTGTGAGCCTCCAGCAGATAAACTGTTCTGTGTTTACTTTGACAGGAAGAGAGAATGTCTTGGTTTATAATTGCACACAACTGCAAAGGTTCGTATAAAGGGTGTTGAGAGTGGCCCAGTGGTTAAGAGCATGCCATTGACAGTTGTCTTTGAATGACCCTGACACATGGTGGCCCCTGTGTACAACAGAACAAAGGGTGGCCCAGCCTGGCACTTCAGCCATTCAGTAACACTTTCCAAATGTAGTCCACATCCCAACTTTTGTCACCAGTGTGTCTCACTGGAGTCTTAGAATAGTCTCCCTACTTTACCTATCACTTTACAGGCTATTATCAACACAGTAGCCTAGGTGAGCCTTAAAAAGGTCTTGCTTTGACTCAAAACCCTCTAATAGCTCCTGCCTCATCCAGAGAAAAAGGATGTGTTGGTTGTGTTTATGTATTCTCAGTGGTTTAGCTTGACACGGGAATGGTTGTTATTCCACACAGGTAATGGAATGGAATCACTTTCCATTCAGTAATACTGTGTGGGCAACCCTTCAGTTGAAAAGGGAGTTTCCTTGGGGGTGTGGTCTGAACCCAGAATACAAAAGGCTATTTTGTCCTAGCTCAATCTCTCTCTCTCTCTCTGTCTTTGGACCCTACTCCATTGTCTTGCCTCATTTACAGATTTTGACATGTCAACCTTCAGGAGTGTCTGACCTAACCTGTGGATTTGGGATTCGCCAGCCCCACCGTTGCCTGAGTCAGTCCCTTGACATAAGTCTACTATCTATTCTTTCTCTCTCTGGCTCACTTTGTTCCACTACAAGACCAAAGTAAGACCA